TCCGTCGGTAACACACGTGTATAAATCGATTTGACAGAAGTACGGTTCATTAATTCAGTCTACATGTTAGCCAGGGAATAAATTTCTCATCAATTGCGCCGCAATACGAACAGATGAAATTTACGAAAAAGTGAGAGACGAAATGACAAGATACAAAATAAAAGCAATCAATATTATGCTTTCCTTCATACTACGAATGGATAGGGAGATCGCGGTTGCAGTGAAGCCAAGTGGGAAAGAAGGGAATGCCAACACAAACATTCCTAGACATGCCAAAAAGTGTATCCAACCAAACGTGTTCGTCTTTGGGACCTCAGCCCGACAGATCGATCATCTGGAACAAAAGTGAGTTGTTGATCAAAGGCCGCTAAGATGGCGTGAATCTGTTTCATCCATAGTATGCCGACTAATAGTACAGCTATCCAATGTACGTGTCTGCATCAGGTTACTTAACGCCCATCGTCGGCTAGTGGCCGAAAGGAATGGGACCCCGCCTTGTAAGCTGGAAGCTACCGGCTTGAATCCGAGCAAGCATAAGTGACCTCGCAATATATCGAACGCAGACAAAGTTCATGAGTGCTTTCATAAAAACGCAGCATGTCACTCAGTTGAGTCGACCGCTAACCCCGATCATAATACTGACCCGATTGAAGTCATTTCCGAGAGGTTATCGAAGCTGGAGCTCGCTATCTCGAGCATTAATCGCTACCATGGTAGAAGCCCTAGACGCTCCTCTCGAAGTAGACGTACTTTCGCCAGGGGTTCGACACCTCATTTTTGTTGATACCATCACCCTTTTGGCGAGGATGCAAGGAATTGTGGACCTGGTTGTAACCACCCGAAAGCATTCCACAAACCGCAGCAGGGAAACTTCCACGCCAGCCAGTGATGGTGACAGCTGCGTCTGGCCAATCTTATACTCGCCTACTTTACGTCTACGATTCGTCAACCAATTCGTACTTCTTGGTTGACTTCGGTGCCGAGGTCAGCGTTATTCCTCATGCTGCAGAAAAACGCAACCTACTTCCAACCGGGCTGACATTGTAGGCGGCTAACACACAGATCCATAGATACGGCCAGAAAATGCTGACTCTCAACCTTGGTCTTCGTTGAAGTTTCCCCTTTGTTTTTCTCATCGCTGACGTCCTAGCCCCGTCCTTGGTGTTGATTACCTCACCAAGTTTGGCCTGATCGTGAACCTGAGTAACCGTAAACTATGCGATAGTTTGACATCCTTTTCCGTTTCGGGTAAAGTCACTTCGATCAGTTCGATCGGCCTTCACTTTTCATTGCCCGACGACAATGTGTTCACCGAACTATTGCTGCAGTTTCCTGCTCTTTGCCAATCCTCTAATGACTTTCCTGAGCCTAAGCATGAAATTACGTACCACATCTTAACACGTGGACCACCAGTAACCGCCCGATCTCGACGATTACCTCCAGACAAGCTCGCTACTGCCAAGACAGAGTTGGGACATATGCTTCGTTTCGGTATCGTTCATCCTTCCAATAGCCCATGGTCCTCCCCGCTTCATATGGTTCCCAAAAAGTCCAGTGGCGACTGGAGACCTTGCGCAGATTACCGGGCACTAAATAATTCCACCGTCCCCGATAGATATCCGATTCCGCACATCCATGATTTTACAACTGGTTTATATGGAAGAACAATTTTCTCTAAGATTGACTTGGTGCGTGCATACTACCCAAATCCGGTTGCTCCCGACGATATTCCGAAGACCGCCATAACCACACCATTTGGTCTTTATGAATTTGGTCTACGAAATGCCGCACAGACTTTCCAATGGTTTATCGATCAAGTCCTTAGAGGGCTCGACTTCGTCCACATCTACATTGACGATATTCTTGTGGCCAGTTGCAATCATGATGAGCATCTGTCACATCTTGGATCGATATCCGAACGCTTTGCTCAGTATGGCCTTACGATCAATGTTGACAAATGTTCTTGGTCAAATTTCTGTTGACCTTTTGGGCCACCGAATTGATGGTAACGGCCTTAGTCCACTAGCTGAGAAAACAAGCGATTGCAGATTACCCCATGCCGCAATCCTTCAAAAGTCTCCATCGTTTTCTCGGCATGGTGAATTACTACAGCCCTTTTCATACCAAATTGCTCTTGGCTACTCCAGCCATTGACTGATTTACTTAAAGGCAAATCACGAAAATTCGAGCCCACTCAAGAAGCTATTGACGCATTCGACAAGATCAAGCACGCGTTGTCCAACACTAACGCGCTTAGTCATTTGAGGGCTGATGTTGACACCACTCTCATCCTCATGACTGATGCATCTCAGACCGCTGTTGGGGCTGTTCTCCAGCAGGTAATCAGCGGTCAACCTGATCCGCTATCCTTTTTCCCTCGCAAACTTCAGCCAGCACAGACGCGATACAGCACATTTGGCCGAGAACTTTTAGCTATCTACCTCGTTATCAAACATCTTCGGCGCACATTTACCATTCTTACAGACCATGAACCAATTGTCTTTACTTTCCGTGGTTCATCCGACCGTTTCTCCCCCAGAGAAATTCGTCATTTGGATTATATCTCACAGTTTTCGACCGACATTCGCCATGTTGATGCATCCAATAACGTTGTCGCCGATGCCATGTCTTGTATATGTCTTCACGAACTTTCACGGCAGACGATTAATTTAGAAGACAGCTGCTCATCAGGAAGGAGATCCTGAGTTTGTGCAACTGAGATCAAATCCATCGATCAAAATATCACAGTTGCCAATCCTTAACTCCGGCTCCAAAATTTACCGTGATATTTCTACCGGCAAGCCCCGACATTTTGTCCCTCAGCAATACCGCCGAATCGTCCTTGGTCACCTGCATGGAACCTCACACCCGAGCATCCGAGCCACCGTCAAGCTGATTACTGTTTGTTCCATTTGGCACAACATTCGCTCCGAGATCCAGCAGTGGACCAAGCACCGCATCACTTGCCAAACCAGCAAGATCCACCGTCACACGATTACCGTCCCCGGCACGTTTCCTCCTCCCGACGCTCGTTTCAAACAGGTTCATCTTGACATCGTTGGATCCTTGCCTTCATCTAACGGTTTTGTCTACTTATTGACATGTGTTGATCGTTATACGCGTTGGCCACTTGCCGTGCCTTTACGTGATGCTTCTACAGAAACTGTGGCGCGAACATTCATTGAAAATTGGATTTCCGTCTTTGGCACGCCAGCCACTATTACTACCGATAGAAGATCCCAATTCAGTTCGGCCTTGTTTCGTGACATGAACCGCTTGCTCGGTTGTTCCCACCTACGGACAACTGCCTATCACCCAGCTGCTAATGGCATCGTTGTACGTCTCCATCGCCAACTTAAAGCCGCAATTACTGCTTCTCAGTCGAACTCACAATGGTCAGAACATCTACCGATTATCTTGCTTGGTATTCGTAACGCCATTAAAGAAGACATTGACTGTTATCCCGCTGAGTTGGTCTTTGGCACTACTCTCAGACTTCCTGGAGGAAGGGTGCTAGACTCAAGGGTTACTGGAGAAGTTGTTCTGACGTCGTACGTCACCCGTCTGAGGCAACACTTCACTTCGTCCAACACCACCGAATCAGTCTTCGGAGTCAACAGCTACACCCGGATTTGCACACTTGCCCCTTCGTTCTCGCGCATATTGATTCCGTCCGTAAACCTCTGACACCGCCTTACGAGGGCCCCTTTAAGATTGCTGCCCGGAAAGGGAAGTACTTCGTGCTGAATAGAAATGGTTATCAGGATACTGTGAGTATTGACCGCTTGAAGCCGGCTTACTTCGAGACATGACCACTACCGAAACCCACGGACATTCCTGTCACCGACCAGCCCACCTAACCAAGTACGCCTCCTACTCAGCCCATGTGTGACACCTCTGTTCCCTCTTCTGCACCGCAAGCGTCTCATGACACAAACTCGAAATCGCATTACCGAACACGATTCAGCCGTACAGTTATTCTCCCTTCCAGACTACGATAAATGACACACCAGTATCGAGCATTCGTCACAGTGACTCACGCTCTAGGGGGGAGTTTTGTAGCGATGGTACATTTCTCTCTTCCCAATTGTATCTTTCTATTCTCATTTCCATTATTATTGTACAGTTTCGTTTTAACTGACCAACAACCGATAAAAGACTTTTTCGGGTTTCCATTCGCCTTCTGATTTAGGCTATGCGTGTTGTGCTTTTGATCGTCGTCGGTCTGCTAGCCTCGTTCATTGATCATCGGACCTAACGCGTCGAATTATTGTGCTGACTAAGTTTCGTCTCCCGACCGGATTGTGCGACTAACTGACGGCCTACCGAGGATCGTGCTTTACCGAAGGTCAGGTCCAGCATTCTTATTTATAGACTGGGAGTTCTTTTATGTAGTTAATCCCTTTTAGTTTGGCCTTTCCACTACATTGTCTTGTAAAAGACAAAATGGAACTGGATAGGATTTTGCTAGTGGGTACAATTTTAGTGCAGGGATTACAGGGGCAAACGTATCCCGAACGTTTGCTTAACTTGGGTATATACTCAATGCACTACCGGAGAATTAGAGGATACTTGATCCTCATTTACCGTATTCTAACGGGTAAGATCGGTCCAAACGTGTCCTGGCTATTTAGTCCCGCCAAGCTACCTAGCCTCCGAGGTCACCCGTTGAAGCTGCACAAACTGCGTTTTGACCGGGTAAGGACGGAAACTCTCTTGTAGCGCCGGATTATTGAACGTTGGAACTCGCTTCCGGAACACGTCGTTAGGGAGTCTACGGTTGAGGGTTTCCAGCGTCACTTAGATGGTTTTGGGTTGCAGTACCAAACCTTCCCCTTCTCTTAACCGACTTGTATCTTCAACTTTCCGTTCGTTTTTTATTACTACTTGTCACATCTTGGTATTATCATTATTTAGCTGATATTCCTCCTCTTGTTTTCTTAGCTTACCTTTTACTCACTTATTTCACATAAACCGCCCTGGTATGAACTACTGAGCAGGAAAAGGTGAGCAGTAATTGTTTGGACAGGGTGTGATGTGGTCTTTGTTTTAGGCTTTTCAACATCTCAAGCATACCTATCAATTCCCGATCCAACGATACACAAAGAAAGAACATTCACGGAATTCTCCTATCGTTCCGGTCCCAACTGAACTTGAACTTGTTTTACGGACAGGCTGGTGTTCTCATGCCTCATCGCCATCGAAGAAGATGTCATTGCATTCTGCACTTTAAGAAGAATATACACATTGTCGACGTGTCACTTGATGGCTGCGAGTTTATGGGAGGAAACTGATTCTGAATTGGAACTTCCGGCTACATGGCAAGAGGCGATCCGGACGGATGGTGTCGTTCTCTATCGAAAGTGCGTTCTTCTTGAGCTTGAATGCGTTCCTGGTGCATATTTTCTTGGTTTGAGACTATTGTTAACTTGGGCCTCATTACCTCTGTTTTCATCCACATCTCATACTTCTTACGTAAGATATCGATGCGATCAGTGAGATTATCGTTCAAGCGGACAAATTTTTTCCATAACCTGATTTAATTTACACTTTTCAACATAAACAAAATCTCGTACTCCGTAACAGCTTGCGTACGGTTCTCATGTGGTCCATCACCAGATAGGACTTCTTTTCTCTTTTTATTCACTATCTCTGCCGATCTGTACGAAAACGAAGAGCTGTTGATTCTTGTGGTGCACATATTTATTAACTAATTCCCACGTTTTCCAGGAACATCCAACTAAAATTTTTCGTGGACTTAAAGACGGGAGTTACTGGATGGGGTCTGAAAGGAAGTTACTAAGAATGATGTGGCCGTAACCTTTTTATGTGTCCAACTTGTCCACGTTACTATCGACTACCAATGACGTATCAGTTCCGGATTCTAACTTGCTGTCTATATCCCTCTTACTGTGGTCTGCACATTGGACGCTACCTTGTATAGAGCAGAGCGGATAAACCAACCACCGACCAGTGACTTTCGACAGACGGCAGCATAGCTGAAATAAAGTAATCACTAAATAGCACCTCAATTTGTGTATGGTATAAAGGCTGTTTCACTTTGCCAATGGTAGATCATAATGCTACCCGGACTTTGGTTTAAGTCTGGGAGGGCTACAAGACGTTCACCATTTGGTACTTGGTATTTTTGTTTACCGAACAGTCCGTCACACTGACACTTATTTTTCATACCTGACGACCAATTGCCTTTTCATTCTTTGTTCATCGAGTTCGCATTTGGTTAAACAGGACCCGAGATTGGTCCAGTGATGAAATAGATAAGGATCCTGAAGTGATAGATTGAGTTACTAGGCTCTGAGGTCACTTGGATTGGGACTACATTAGTTGCTAAAAGTGCTATCCGACGTGGCGCAACCGGTTTTTCGGTTTCCCGCTTCGACTCTTTCGATTCTTCGATATTCTATCTTCCTCTGTCCCCATTATTTCACCATCAAAAGTGTGGCTTCATTAGCTCCACTAGCTCCAGTTCTTTGCTTATATTTCGCTTGTCAAATTTTGTCAAATGACCAAATGCTTTCACGACATCTTTCACTGCTATATGTCACCTCTGTATACCATCACTATCGGTGTTGATTTTTCAGCTTGCTGGTAATCGAGGCGTTGCTATTCATTGGTTAAAACTCATACTTAGCTCAAGAGACTACAATCCTTCCTTCTCCACTTCAGTGCCGCAACGGGTGAGTTCCAGAGAGCGCATCCAATATCCGGTCGAGTCAAAACAGTCAGCACTGATTTGCCCCCTGACTGGTATTTGTCAATAGATGGCTCTGGGAGAATCACTTTTATCAAGTGAGTATGGATCTTTTCTTGAGAGTACAGCTATCACGCGTATATTTTTCGAGTAAGCTGGTCTTCTCTGTTAACCTCCTTCTGCGCAGCATCCTGCCGGTTGCAGATGGAATAGGCTAGATGGCTCAAACGATCGCATCTCTTAGACAAATGTGAATCAGTTTTTCTTTCTAAATTATTACGTTTAGGGAGTTGGACCACGATTGTCTACCTTAAACTCCACTCCGAAATTCCTTGTGGTTGGTGATGTCTTGTCAGTAAACACGGGTTGAATCTGTGGTTTTCCCTGTTTTTACAAATTTGTTACATGTCTGATGTGCACAGCCGAACTTACCATCGCAAATTGTCAATCTTTTTTATCATAGGCTTATTGTATCATTGCCTATACAGTTGACTAAATTAATTCATATAGGCCTCATCTCTTTGATTCTTTACTACAGTATGTCTCATAGCTATCTGGACACGTTAGCTAAAGGATTGCTTCTAACTATCCTTACGTAATGGAAAAACCTCCGATTACCCCACTAAGATCTCGCCTCATTACCCTGCTGTTTGCAGTGAGGAAATTTGTCTCGAAGCTGGCGATACTTTACACCAAGCCATTTAATGTTTATGTATGGGTTGGGTTCTATTCAAACAATTCGATCCATTCGTCAACTCCGATTCGATCACTGCCTTGCCGATGTGTTCACTTGCCACGATAATGAAGGTTCTGCCCATGAGTTTTATGGTCTTACAGAACCACACGGGTCGTACTACATTGTGCATTGGCAACATCAGTGGCTCGCCCACTCGAGTGACGCACTTGAGACCAGCTGCTATTCCACTTGGGTGCATGACAGCGTTGAGAAATAGGAGCATCTCAACCTACCACTGAAGCTCGCCTTATTCGGGCGCAGCTTGCTCCTTGACCGGTTCACAAGTCATCATATGTTGAAATAGATTGCAAACTAGTTCCCGATTTCGTGATATATACGCAGCTTTATTTTGACTGTCATTATCCTCGGCACTATTTGCTTGATTACTTTTAATATCTGTATCCGTTTCTTATCTAGCTCTGTCACTGGTCGAATAAGCTATGCTGATCCACGACTCGCTACTACTTCTACATCTGGTCCAATCTCTCTTTCGAAGGGTTTTACCAAATCGAGATTTGATCGGTTTTCTGTCGTAGACGAGGTGAGTTATGAGGTTAAATCTCACCATTCTCGCTTTTGCTAAGATTGTCGATTACATCGAGCTCGAGAGGTGAATTGCCATTAATGCTGTCCATACTTTTGTGAGCTGGAATCATCCTATCGATGCGTACCAAGCTATTCTCCCCAAGATCCAGTGGTTGGTAGCAGGGGCTATCGGATACCAACCATCTCATCGAGGTGCGCCATTAGGATCTCCCGTCCCGATTAGCACTGGCTGTCATCCGCTTCGGGCTTTGCTTTGCACCATCGAAGTGCAAAGCTTTTCTCCAAGATTAGCAGGGATCTCCTCCTGCGCTGACCCTTGGTGGGGATCAGCTAGAAGTCGTTCAGAAATTCAACTACCTGGGAAGTTATATTGACGCGTTTGGGATCGAAGATGAGATCACGAACCGTATAGCAAAAGCTTGAGGTGCTTTTGTTAGTCTTCGCCACTTATAGCACCGGCGCGACATCACTCTTGCCCTGAAGGGTAGAGTGTACAATGCAGCGGTATCTTCGACCTTATTGTACGGTTGTGAAACCTGGCCCCTTCGACCAGCGGACATAAAGAGGCTAGTCACGTTCGGTCATCGGTGCCTTCGCAGTTTGACTCACATCTGCTGGGAACACCGCGTGAGAAACGAGCGTGTTCGACGCCTTGTTTACCGCACAGAAAAGTAACTGAACAGCTCAGCACCGTCATTTCACGCACCAGGCTCCGATGGCTCGGCCACATGTTACGCATACCAGCCCACTGACTGCCGCGACGTGCGTTGTTTGCTCCCCTGGGATGTGGATGGAAGAAGTGGAGGGGTGGCCAAGCGATGACTTGGTCGAGAGGTATGAATGACCTCACTGGCATCGGTTGGAGCGTCACGGCTCCGTGGTTGTGGTCCGGAAGACGTGGAACACGTTAATCTAGGTATACTTGCCGACATGACTAGGAGCCGACCTCAGTGGTGTTCCTGCTGTGAGTTTCTTTGTCCCCCCTATCCCTTGTATCCTCCCCTTCAACCACGATCTGAGATCGTAGCATAATATAATTTTACATCATAATTTTCTTATTGTCTACTAGCCGGCTGGTAGCTTACCGAAACGATATCTATCCGTTGCTGGTAGCTAAGCTGGCATGCAACTGTTGTATTTGTTTTCTTTTTTATGTATTTCGGCACAGTAGATGAGGTGTCTTACACCGCTAGCTAACGTGTATAATGATGATGAAGTTGATGTCAGTCCTCTGAGACTCATCCTGTGCTGCAGAACGACTTTGGCGATTTTTCTAAAGGATCCTGCAGATGAAAATTGCAAAAGAAGCTAATAAATCTCGTTAAGGAAATCACATGATCACGGTGTTGCTGGTCATCTTCCTATCTACCGGACATACAACTCAGCAACCGTCAAGCTCCTGGTAATTTCCCCATTGGCTTTCGCAACAACGTAACCCGATTACTCTTTGAAGCGCGATCCAGGGGGCTATTCTACCAAGCTCCATAAAATGGACCTCACACATATGATTCTTCGGATAACGTCCAATCGGCCGGTATTCAACTCCACCGCCTTTACAGTCTAGGGTTTTGAGTTACGTACCGAAAGTAGGATCTTGGGGCGACCAGCCGTCGACCCAAATCGATCACATCGCGTTCATTTACCCCTGGGTATACTTCCTACAAACCTGCCGCTGGGTTTGGAACACAATTATAAACTCAAGACCATGCACTTACATTTACTACTCAGCCTGTGTATTTCGGCAGACACCGGAGACTATGCGTTGCATGAGTAGAAGTCTGCCAACTGATGAAGCCAAACGTCCTCAATGTGTATCAAACTACGCCGGCATCCGAGTCGAGTAAGCGCTCACTGAACATAGTTGAAGATCCGAAATAATTTGAAGCACTGGCTGCCCAGGTTGGTTGTTTAGCTATTAGTTTGTTCGGCGAGCTTGATTAAATGGTCGCATACACTTCGACACCATGCGAGGTGGCATCACCAGTGCGGTGATGCTCGATGGGAAGTCTCACCGGGCTGAAGCTGCTCTAGTTGATTAGCTCCCAATCAGCAATTGGATGTGCGCCGTTCGACTGCATGGCTCGTTCAAAGCTTCGAAATCGCCTGGGGCTTATAGGTGCCTGTTTGTCATCGTTGCCTACGTCCCCACAAACTGTGACGAGGACTCGGTAAAATACGACTTCTATCCTCAACTGAATAAGCTGTTATTTCACGGCAAAAGCACAGACGTTAGTTTTGGCTGGGGATCTGGGTTTTCAATTTAGCAAATTGTCCACTGTTGAGCTGCATCTGGGTGGTCAACACGGTGTAGGCTCCCGTAACAGTAACGGTAAGCAGTTACTTTATTTGTGTGAAGATGCTCGCTTATTACTTGCAATCACTAACTTTCGACACAGCAACCGGAAATCGCGTTTATAGCACACGACTTAGGTGTGGATCTGCTCCCAGGAGAACGACTTCTTGATTTAGAGTATGCTGATGATATTGCCCTGATCTGCGACAGCTCACAAACGTGCCAAGCGGCACTGGACAGATTAGCACTGGCTGTCCGTCACTTCGGGCTTTGCTCCGCACCCTCGAAGTGCAAAGATTGGTCTGGACGACCGCCTCCTACGCTGACCCTTGGTGGGGATCAGCTAGAAGTCGTTCAAAAATTCAACTACCTGGGAAGTTGTATCAGCGCCCGTGGGATTGAAGATGAAATCACGAATCGTATAGCAAAAGCTAGAGGGGCTTTCGCTAACCTTCGCCACTTATGTCGCCGGCGCGACATCACTCTTACCCTGAAGGGTAGAGTGTACAATGCAGCAGTACGTTCGACCCTATTGTACGGTTGTGGAACCTGGCCGCTTAAAGCAGCGGACCTGAAGAGGCTAGTTACGTTCGACCACCGGTGCCTTCGTAATTTAGCTCACATTTGGTGGGAACACCACGTGAGCAACGAGCGTGTTCGACGCCTTGTTTATGGCACAGGAAATGAACCGCTCAGCACCGTTATTTCACGCATCAGGCTCCGATGGCTCGGCCACGTGTTACGCATACCAGCCCACCGACTCCCGCGACGTGTGTTGTTTGCGCGCCGGGGGTGTGGATGGAAGAAGAGGAGGGGTGGCCAAGCGATGACTTGGTCGAGAGGAATGAAGACCCTCACTTCTGAGCTGGCCTCGGTTGGAGCGTCTCGGCTCCCTGGTTGGGGTCCAAAGGACGATGAACACGTTTGGTTCGACACACTTGCTGATATGGCTAGGAACCGACCTCAGTGGCGTTCGTGCTGTGAGTTTCTTTGTCGCACACCATCCTTCTTAGCCTCCCCCTCCAATCACGATCTCATTATGTAGCCTTATATATTTTTGCATAATAATTTTTTTGTTGGGTGCACAGCAGCCGGCTGGTAGCTTACCGGAACGATGCCCATCCGTTACCGGTAGCTCAGCCAGCTTGCACCAGTTGCTTTTTTCCCCTTTTTTTCTGTATTGCGGCACAGTAGCTGAGGTGTTCCCCACCTCTAGCTAACATGTATGGTGATTATGATGATGATGACACAGCAACCGCCGGAAGGTGACATGACGTTACCAGCCTAAGACTAGCCACAGATACAAATCGATCACACTGCGATCAGTTACCACTTGAAAGGATGCGTCCAAAACAGTCGCTGGATCTGGAGCACATGTGTGGGCACAGACCATGCACTTGAGTTTCCTGATCTGTGGGCGTTTTTGCGAACGCCCGCGACGATGCTGTGAGCGCATGGAGACCCGATAACTGCTGGAACCAGATGTTATGAATGCGTATCGAAGTACGCTAGCATTCTAGTTGAATAAGAGCTCACTGAATACAATTGAAGGCCAGTGGTCCCATGTTTACTGGACTTTTTCATCAGCAAGCAAATCCCTACCTAGTAAATTAAATTTCTAACCTAGACATTTGGTTTTTACGCACACTCCGACTGGAAGCAAACACAGTGAGACTGGCAAAGACCTCAAGGAAACATTCCGTGCTAGACTGAAGAGAGACCGCCAATCCTAGTGTTCTCCTTTTTCGTCTGAGATAGAAGTGGCCACCGCTTTGGTAACCATCCGTCCTCTACTGGAAACGGTCAGTAGGAGACCTGTTGTTAGTGAAACTAAATGTGACCAGAGTGGACAGCATCACGGCTTGTCAAAACGCTTGGATCATTTGGCTGAGCACTTCCAAAAGAAATTTAATCAGCCTGAGTTGTCAGACTTCTCGCCGCTCTGCTCCATGGGCTGTCCCTTTTTGATCCGCCCTCGCTCAGAAGTCGAACGTGAGATCGGACTGTCGAAGTTGAATACGGTCGCTAGACCAGATGATCTTCATCTATCCTTTTTCAAATTCAGTAATTGCTCTTGCTAATGACTTACACGAGTTACTCACGAAACAGTTGGAGCAAGAAACTGTCTTGACCGACTGGAGCCGCTCTGTTATTGTTCCCATCTTCAAGGGAGGCTCACGTTCGGAATGCGGTAACCATAAATGAATCAGTCTGTTCTCCATCGCCCCCAAATTACTTGCCTCTGACATCTATCACAGACTAACTGGCACTCGTGAAAGCCAGACTCGTGAAATGCAAGTCAGATTACGTCGAGGTCGTGGCCGCGTCGATCACATCTTCACTTTGCGTCAATTATTGGAGCACCGTAACATATGTTGGCGGTCCACCGTTGTCGTGTTCCTCAATACCAAAGATGCCTTCGATTCGGTTGATCGGTGTGCCTTTTGGTACTGTTTGCTAAGGGAAGGTGTGCCCGAGAAGTATGCAAATATTATCCGAGCGCTTTACGCGCTTAGATCGGGCAGAGTGAGGGTTTACGGCAAGCTGTCGCCGCCCCTCAATATCTTCAGCGACATAAGACAGGAATGTCTGCTGTCACCTATCCTTTTTAACTTCTCCATTAACAAAGGCACGAAGACTGCGTTCACTGGACACGGCCTACAAGGCATGGAGCTGCTCCCAGAGGAACGACTTCTTGCCTT